GGCCGATTCCAGCCACACTGGTCTTCAAAGCCCCTAATTCATCTTTGAACAGGCCAGGCATTCTCCCAACTGAGGGCCTTGGTATTTGCTCTTCCATCTGCTTGGAACATTCTGCTTCAGGTGTCTTTCTTGGCTAACACCTTTATTTCACTCAGCTCATTACTTCAGGTCTCCTTCTGATTAAGACCCTCCCTGGCAAGCGTATTTGATATTGCTACAACATCATGCTAAGAACTCCCTAAGCCCCCTCTCTGCTTTATTTTTCTCTGTAACACGTACATATTTTACTTGTTTGCTTATTGCCTGCCCCCCACCTTGCCCCCACTAGATTACAAATTCCCGGAGGGCAGGGATTTTGTGATTTTAAGGGTGTCAAGTGATTTATATGACCTGCTGGTGATGAAAGGGCAAGAATGTGGGAAAATTTATGTGATTCCCTCCGAGACCCCAGATTTTTGTTTATGCAAAGACTTCTTGAAAGACAAAAAGACACACACCCCTCTACCAAGGGCAGGGACTTAACTCATTTTAGTATTCTTTTCAGGGTCCACCGCAGTGCCTTACAAATAGTAAGCAATCTAATATTTATTACCTTGAATGGACTCTTTTCCTTTTGCTTAAATTGTAGAAAAATATTTGTTTAAAAGAACACAGAACATTTTTTTAAATGGATTTAATTTGGTTTTTTGACAAACCACATTCATGGCAAGGAATGAATGGCAGCATATGGTTATTTTACTTCAGGAAATCTTTTTCTAAACATACTTCATCTCTTTTAATATCCCTGTAAATTAAAAATTAATTTCTTGTTCCAGTTTACTTTTTTTCTGGTTTCCTTTGGGGTTAAAGTACATGTGTAATAAATGCTTCTTTTAGAGCCAAAGCTCTTATAAAAATGTGGGGAAAAATTCTGCCAGTAAATTAATAAAACATAATAAAAGAATTAATTCAGCATAAAGGGAGCAGAAAAGGTCCATAAAGCTTTGGGCAATCAATGCTCAAAAATGACAAATGATGGGTAAGAGAAAAGCCAAGACATAATGGTGTGGTTTAGGCCTTGAGGAGAGGAATCAAGAATAACAGTGAGAATAATGGTAGATGACCTTTATTTTTTACAGTGGGCTGGACAATGAGTTATGTTTTGAGGACAAAATTTTCCGTTTCTTTGACCTTTCAATTTAGGCTGACCAGTTTTCCTCTTGTGGTCAAAATAGCCATGAACTGAAAATAAGATCTGAGTTCTATTCCTGGCCACTAATCCAGATCAGTACACTTCATGCAGGCCTTTCCTTTATCCTTCCTCCATGTAATTCGTTTCCCTGTGTGTTATTCAGCAAGTCACTCAACCAATCTGCACCTCGATTTTCTCACGTGTCAAATAAATTGGGTTAGGTAATTCTCAGTACCTTTCAACTCTGCTAATCATGATTTGTGCCCAGTCCCCTCCAAAATTTTTTGTAAAAGGAGCGGCAGATATGTACCCACTCTGAAATAATTGCTTTGAAAAGATTTTTGTTTAAGAAGGGGAAAATCGGGCTTCCCTGGTGGCGCAGTGGTTGAGAGTCCGCCTGCCGATGCAGGGGACACGGGTTCGTGCCCCGGTCTGGGAAGATCCCACATGCCACGGAGCGGCTGGGCCCGTGAGCCACGGCTGCTGAGCCTGCGCGTCCGGAGCCTGTGCTCCGCAACGGGAGAGACCACAACAGTGAGAGGCCCACGTACCGCAAAAAAAAAAAAAAAAAAAAAAAAAGGAAGGGGAAACTTCTCAAAATTTGAATCAGAGAGGTCTCCATGTTTTCCTTTATGGAAGTGCAATTGACAAAGAAAAATCAGGAGGGAAAATTACTTTTGGAAATGCATTTTACTTGACTCATATTGAGTTTGCAGGGACAGCCTATGTTAAATGATGCATTGAACAAGTTGCCTAATAGTAAAAGTGCTGTTGGTCTAAGTCAGTGGTTTTCAACTTTGGCTGTATATTACAATCACCTGGGAAACAGGTTTAAAAAAACTGATAAGGCCCACTCCAAACCACTTGAATCAGCATCTTTGCGAGTGGGGTGAGGCATGGCTATTGCTTAGAAACCCCTCCAAGTGATTCTAATGTGCAGCCAGGATTGATAACCAATGGTCTAAGTTTCCAACTTGGAAACACCTGGGTTCCAGGAATAGTACCCAAGTTATTGGCACTGTTAAAAACTGATTACTAAATATCCAGTCCTTCAATATTAAAGTGTTCCTGCAAAAATGGGGATAAAGATTTTGATATAGCTAAAAGTATTTTAAACATAAATGTAAAATGGGGATAAACTGGAAG